GAAATAGGACTTTTGATCAGAACAATACATAATGTAAAATTATTAGCTATACTGCTATAATAGGAAAAAAAGTATGTTAAATTTGAATAAATGTGTAATACGATTTCGTATTATTTAATTGTATACATCTATAGTAATTGTAAATAACTCTGAGGAAATGAAATTGTTATATCGTAAAAAACTATAATATTATATTATATTAAGAAGATGCTACACGCGCGCACATGTGCTGTGTCCGTTTCAAAAACATACAATATACAAATTCAGAGTTCTGCAGTTCTAATTTGGTGTTATAATTTTTAATAATAGTGAAATGACCTACAATCAAATTTAAAAGCAAAAGTGTTATCGCCATTATCTATGCTTTCTCGTGAGTTTTACAATGTTTAAATTTTTGAAACATTTATGAAATGCTTTTAATTAATTAATATCGTAATACAATCCACAAGTAACAATCATAGATAATGTTTTCATTTTAAATTTTATAATATTCAAGTTTCTCTACTATTAAAGGTTATTTTAGTTTATTACTATTTACTAATTACATAAATTTGATATGAGTGTATGACATACATTTATAATACCAAGACAACAGATCACACAGGTGTGATCCTCTGAGATTACCTACTTTAATAATATTATAGATTATAGTATACAACGTATGCCTTATATGTGAGTACTTCTCCAATAAATAATACCTTTTTCAAATATCTAAATAGTGAAAAGAATAAATAGAAAAATAGTATATGTCAACTACTAAAGACACTTATATTCTCTTTAAATATTTATAATTAAAATACACTTTTATTGATGGCTATGTAAATAAACTTTAATTTAAATTAAACTTACAATTTATACATGTGTGAGAACTGAACATTGCGATATAAGCCTTATATACCTAGAAAACTCACATTTTGTCAATAATCTTTTCTTATATCTCAATCGATGACTAAAAATTCCTATTAAATTGATAATTTATATATTATTAAATCAATACTGTAAGGTACATTTTGGCCACATTATCTGTTACAATTGTTACTGCAAACGGTCATTCTCAATTCTACGAAGACTTAAAACGTACTTACGAAACAATATAAAAGAAATTATACTTACTGGATTGACACTACTAAACATATACCGAAATGTTGATTTAAATGTGGTAGAAATTATCGATAGATTTGCTAAGTTACCACGAAAATGGGATTTTATACTTTAATTTGTAATTTTTTAATGTATTACATATAAATTGTTTGATTTTTTCTTCTATCTAGGTACTTAATAGTATAATATACTTAGGTAATTTTATGTGCATAGGTACTAATAAAATAAATGTCTGTTCTGTTCATAACATTTAAAGTTTTATTTATTATTACTATAACTGTTCTTATAAACTTACTTCTGAACAAATGACATACAGAAAATTTGGATACTTAGCATAATAATTGTCATATTAAAAAATAATGAGTAACGAGGAAGAAATCGTTTTATTATGTTGCGGTACAATTTATATTACTATATTTTGTATCCCCCCCCCAGAAATTGTATTTTATATACGTACCTGGTTCTACCACACCTACCTTTTGGTATATTAAAATATTTACAACAGTGTTGGCAAATATTAAGATACCTATTCACTCCCAGCCAAGTATTTAATCTGAAATTTGTCTGTATAGTGATAGACGATAGTCATACCTAGGTACTTCCTATCTATATATTTATTAGATAGAGTCACGTACTCGTGTTACAGTGTTTATCACAGTTTATATTATTTTAATTGTAATTGTAATTTTTTTTAGCGTTTAATTGTATTATTTTTAGTTCAATTGCATAAAAAAAAAAAATAGCTATTCAATAAAATATAAGTAAATTGTAGATACCTACTTACAGTAAATCATTTAAAAAAAGCAAAATCGAAAAAAAATACATGTAAGATGAGCTCTCGTAATATATAAATATTTAACTACTTAAACCATCTATTTATGCACTTCCAGTTGTATTGTATGGATTTTTTTGTTATCGGTGTTAGGAAAGGATACTTAACCTATAAGTTCACAAATTGGTGTTTTCGAAGTATTAATCATTCCATTAAAAAAATTTTCAAAATTATTTTAGGTATCTAAGACTCAATAAGCCCCTCGAAATTCAAAAGCCTAGTTAACTAAGAATAAAATTAATAAGTATAAAATATGAAGTATATTGGTAGTTGTACTAGCTACCAAAAATACCTACATATAACTCCTAAATACCTATATTAGTTATTATCGTTGTATAAGACAGTGGTTCCTAAACTTTTACGACCACGGCACTCTTAAGAGATATATTATTTTGTTTCGCAGAACCCTGATGTCTTTAACTCCAACTTTGAGAAACGCTGGTAAAGAAACTAAAAATAGAAAAGTGTGTAGTGCAGTATTTCTCAAAATTTTTTGTCACAGGCCCCCCCTAAATTTAATGTGAAACTGTCAAGGCTCCTTTAATCAAAATCATTAATTATTTTTCTTAGTTATATACCAAAATGACTAAATAACTAAATAACCGAAAATATTTTTAAAAATAAGAAGTATTTCACGGCTTACTAGTCTTAGGCTAGGATCACACTATGCGTTTTGTCGGTTCCCGACCAACCGGAGCCGAACCGCAACACTTTAAAATAAAATAGATTTAAATATAAAACGCGTTATCAGGGCCAGACTAGACCGATTTGCGGAACCGATTAAAAACCGTCTGGAAGCGACCGCAACGTGTTGCGGCCCAACCGTCCGGTTACGTTTCGGGATGTAAAGCACAACACATGCAATGCAGTTTGTCCGATCACATTTGCGCGGATTATCGGTAACCGAAATTGAAAATTTTATGAATAATTTATAATCATTTTTAAATTTATAGCTACGACCCCCTGTTTGAGAAGCACTGGTATAGTGGGATGTATACACAGGTATACCCATTTTTCTCTGTTTTTCTAGAAGTACTTATAGAATACTGAATAACACATGAAACGCGGGTAAACGCGTATGGAAACACATTTATTCTATAAACCAATTTGATAAATAATTTTTAATTAATACATAAAATTATCAAATAATTTGTATCGCTTTGACGGTTTCTACAATCAAAACAGTTGCTAATATAAAAGATATTCATAGTATTTCGATGAAACCCAAAAGCGCAAATCATCGATTTTTTTCGATAGACCAAAGCGCAAATTCATTTCACGCTTTACTAGGTACTTGAGAAGTAAGATTAAAGTGCAAAAATAAATATTGTACCCGTTATACGTCATAAATTTCATTTTGAAGTAATAAATATAAATTATTAAATTTAAATATTCATTTTAATTAAACATATATTATTTTAATAATTTAAAAATACATCAGCAGTGAACGGATTCAGTAGAAGTTTAATTTTATCGTAACGAATTACAGTGAAGGTTAATAATCATTTAAGATAACTATACAATAGATATATACAGTATAAACTTATATGTAACTTATAAAATACACTTTATTTTTGTAAAATTTATTTACACTTGTGGTTTGTTAAAAGGGTATTTATTTTATTTTTTTGCACTTATGGGCTACAGCCTAGTATTTTTTAGTATAATATACGACAATATGACAGTATTAGACATTAATATACTTAATTATATTATACAGCGTAAATGTACTGACCATAGAGTTATTTATATACATTGTATGAAAATGTATTATATGTAACTGATAAGATGTTAACAGATCTCGAAAAGTTACATAGATAAAATTAAATGAAGAAAAGGTTAGTGTGTATAAGATGTTATAATTTTTTTAATTTTGATTTGCTTATTATTTTATAAACTTAGGTACCTACCTAAATAAATTCCAAATTTAACAATAGCTCAACATATCTATAGTGATTTCAAAGAATACCTACGAAGTACGATATATTTTATTTTGTATTTTAAGATTTACCTATAATTCTGTTTCTTGTTTTTATTAATTAAGGTATGTATAATTGGAACTTATAAATCTTATTTGAATATTTGATTGAAATTATTTAAAAATTAACATTACTTACTACCTATGATTCATAACATAGGTAATCATAAAAAATGAATATGTATAATATATTTCTAGGAGCATGATTGTAGACTATAGAGCACAAAGTAAGAATAAGACTCAACTGCGGTAGGGTAGTAATAAAGTAACATAGTACATAGTGTATCTATGTAATTATAAATATAAAAATAGTAATAACGTGGTATGTTAGTGTGGTGTAGAGGGCAAAGGCAAAGCCCCCTCCCATGTTTACATGTCAAGCACATTTTAAGCGCATAATAGGTACTCACTAAAAAAATTATGACTACATCACTACCTATTAAATATTAACCTATTATAATTTATAGCGAAATAACTACATTGATGGTAAACATCAATATATTATTATAAATTTAAAGTTTTTTAAATAATACTCTTTTCATTTACCTACCTATGTATTGTAATAAAATATTCTTTTGAAGAAAAGGTCACGAGGGAAACCGACCCACATACCCCTCCTTATTATAATACCGCTGGCTATGTATACTGTATAGGTATTGTTATATCTAAATTAAGAAATATATTATATTATATTAATTAGTTATAGAAAATTACTGGTTTTATGTTTTAAAATAAATTATTTAGTACCTACTAAATACGATACCAATTATTTTTATATTTTTTTTACAGATTACAGATGTCAAACAACAGTAAATAAATAGTTGTAAACTGTAAATAGGTATTAGTAACAATAGTAACTAATGTTACATCTGTAATCTGTTATTACTTGGTCATTACTTTTTTACAATTATTTTATAATCGAGTATTTTATGCTATGAATCACTTGAATCGGTGCTGAAACAAAATAGGTTAAATTTATCTATCTGTAGTAACATATTATATTAGTTATTTTAATATAATTTTGTTATCAATTTATGTTGCCATTGCCCATTAGTATAAATTTATCTTAATCACAGTTTGTTATCTTGAATTTTAAAAATTAAAACCACTTGTTGTAAGAGGCTTGAGATTCTTTAATTAATTTATTTGTTCATTTTATTTATCGATTTACTAGACTACAGTCGTTTATACATTAGTTCTCACCGAGAAAATATGAAGTACAACGTGAAGGTATGTTTAAAACATAATTATTAGGTACATACAAAGAAATTTTTTCTAACATTTTTTTCGATTACATAGATAGGCATTATTGGAGGATCAGGACTTGACGATCCAGATTTTTTTAAAGATGCAACAGAGCAAAAAGTGACCACGCCTTATGGCGAACCATCAGATTTACTTATCTGCGGCAAGCTCAACGGTATCAATTGTGTTCTATTAGCCAGGTTACTATCATTGTTATTTGTTAATGATTTTTATAAATATATAATATACACAATTACCTTCATTGGAGCAGTCATAAATAACTTAAATACTTTAGTTAAATAAATAGGCCACTTGAAGGATATAGGTCTCTGAGCCTCCACATGTGTAAAGTATATAAATTTGTCTAAAGACTTAAATACATAAGGTTAAAAGAACACAAAGTAAATGCATGTATATATAAGACTATTTATTGTAGGCATGGACGTAAACACTCGATAAGTCCCACCAATATAAACTATCGTGCCAATATTTGGGCTTTGAAACATTTAGGATGTACGCATATTATTGCATCATCAGCAACCGGTTCTTTAAAAGAAGAAATTAAGCCTGGAGATTTAGTGATTTTGGATTCTTTTATTGATTTGTAAGTCATTCATTTATTATGATTCCATTTATCATATTATTTTATAAATATATTTTTAGAACAAAAAAACGTGACTTAACTATGTTTAATAAGGATGATCAAGTCATACACATACCAATCGAACCTGCATTTTGTTTAGCTACTCGAAATATTATTATTGAAACTGCCCAAAGCCTTGGCATTCATGTTCATCAAACTGGTACAGCTGTAGTTATTGAAGGACCTAGATTCTCAACAAAGGCTGAAAGTAATGTATATCGATCATGGAATGCTGATTTAGTCAATATGACACTTGTTCCAGAGGTAATTAGTAAATTGTTCTATATTTATATGACTTACATATTAGATATTATTTTAATCTTAGGTTGTGTTGGCTAAAGAAGCAGGCTTGCTATATGCCACAGTAGCTATGGCCACAGATTATGATTGTTGGAGAGAAGCAACAGAAAAAGTCAATGTTGCAAGTGTCATCAAAATTTTTCAAGAAAATGTTAAAAAAATTACAAAATTATTTATTGAAGTTGTGCCTAAAATAGCAGAAAAAAATTGGGATGTTGAAATTGATGAACTAAATGTAAGAAGATTAACAATAAATTATAGGTTTTTGACACTTGTATAACTTATCTTAAAGTTATTAAATAAAGTAAAAAATGCGTTCATTTCAAATTTTAAAATGTGCATGATTGTTTGAAATTAAGCACTACTTATAATATTCATATAAATTATTATTAACGATAATACAATTAAATTAAATTTTAGTAATGTTATTTATATACTTTTTGTATATAATATGTACTTAATTCACAACTCAAAAATATATTAAATCACTTAAAACTCAATGAAACATTTTAAAAATTAGTTTTTAATTATTATTTTATAAGTCATTATGTCTCACAAAACTTCTATATATTTGAATGTATATTATTATATTATTAATAATTATTGTTTTAATAAATTTTAGAGTCTCATTCAAGAGAGTGTGCAGAGTAAATGAAAATGAAACATGACAATGAAGATATCAAACAATATTTGTAATCCCTATATTTGTAAAAATATTGTTTCTAAATACAACACTTAAATACTATATAATTTTGCTTCGTATTTTATTTTTTATTTGAAATACTAATTTATTATTGGAATTTACTGGATAAATGACTAAATAATAGTTGTATTAATTTAATTAAACTTTTTATTATACACAATTCAACAATAATAATAAACCATAATGTACACAATGTTATCATATGGTCATTGTATTCTACTAATAATTTGCAACTCATAGGAATGTTTTTGTTAAATATCACTATTATTAATGAACCCAAATTAAATAATATAAATGAACTCGTCATATCATGTAATAATAATAATAATAATAAAACAATCACTTGCGCTCAATAATAATAACATTAGAGGGATTCAGAAGCAGTCTTAGAATTATTTTATTCATCACTAACTTTAACTAAGATAATCTGAATTTAAAAAAAAATCACTTATACTATTTTAGTTTAATTTATGAATAAGTAACAGTTCTATATGAATATCTAATTTTACAAATCAATACATACAAATATGTTAATTTACTAATAAGTAACAATATTAGTAAATGTAACATAAATGTTTGTGCAATTGTTTTGATTTGTATTAATATATCATTTTTATATTTTAAAAATTCTCATAAATAATATTATTTAAAAATATTATGTATTAAGCTTTTTCATTTGAATTCATATGCTTTCAAAAATAAAATTACAGACAATTAAATTAATTTCTAATGTACATAGAACATAAATGTTTTATTTGTTCTATAGAGTCATGTTTTATTATTTTTAAATCAAATCAGATAATAACCATGGTTATTGTGCCTCTGAAGCCCTCAATATATCTTATTCTAAGTATAAATTTGATGTTAAAAAGAGTACAATTTCTAAAAAAAAAAAAAAATCAAAGTAACATCTAAAATGTCAGTACTAAAGGATAATAATAAATGGGATATTTACAATACAATTCCAAATTACATTTATTTTTATGGTATAATAATTAAAATATTTAAGTTCTATCAACCTATTTATACTTATTAAAATAAATAATATATTTTTTTTTTTTAATTCAATAAAATAAAATATTATTTTTCAACAACTCAAAAACAACAAATAACATAACGGTATTAAAACATGGTTTAGAAAATATTGCTTTTAAAAATAATAATTAAAAGTTTAATAGCATGATAAAGGAATGTATAGATAGGCTAATATTATTATATAATAATGATATAGAATGAATGAAAAATGTAACATGAATACAAATATTCCGACAGCAAAATGATTCAATTATGGTTATTTCAATGTTGTGCAAATTAAAAAAAAAAAATTATATTTAAAACATTAAACGATGGGGTGATTTTGATTCAATACTAAATCTTACGCTTTGGAATCAACCATATCTATATTTATTTTATAATAAACGTATGGGAAATACTCAGCTTGGCCAAATCCAAGTCCAGGTATATCCACACTCTGAAATAAACAAAATAAGAATGAAAATAATTATATTTTATGGCAATTTACTATAATACATACATCATGTGAACCAGCCGCACCACCTTGTTGAGCACTACTGTCCAGATGTCCGTATAATTGGTGCAAAACATCTCTTAGCCGTTTAGTGTTCTTTTTATTAGGATGCAATAACATAGCTTGAAAATTAACAGGCAGGCCATATCTACAAATAAAAATAATTTTGATAATATTGGTTTTAACAAGTTTTTGAAACCTCACCTTAATACAGATTCAACAAATACTCGAAGAGCTTTCACATGTATCCAAGCACAGAAACATTCACTGAAATTGACTTTTAACCATCGTACCAACGGACCCTTTTCAAAAAGACCAAGCATTATAGATCATTGTAAATATTAATTATTAAATGATTTAATTCATTACTTACAAATTGCTTTTTCTTGTCAGTTACTAACTTAGAAATTTCATTTTTACCAGCTGCAAGTTCAACTTCATTGTAAGTAAACTCGCGTACAATAAACCTATGATAAGAATAAAAAAAACTAAATAATAATAGTTCAACAGTTAAATACATTGAATTTTCATGTCATTATTTTTAAAAATTGAGCCTTCTTTTTATAGAACATAAAATGTATAAATTTTTTATTAATTTTATGAAACTTTATACTTAAGATCAAAAACATAAAGAAAAATTTTAATTTTTGAAAATTTGTATTTCTTAATAAAACTTATTACCCTACATTATAAAAAACTATTAAAATATATCATACTTTCTCTCCCTGGCATGATGTTTGAATTCTTCAGCCACTTTTTTGAATAATGTGACAGTGAATAATCCATAATCATTGTCTTGGCTAACTAGCTGGCTAGAACGAGGCACTATCATATCGGTTAGTTTTTCATAATTTTGATTCCAATCAGAAAACCCTGATCTGGTGAATAAAAAATATTTATTTTACATTATTTAAAATTTTCTATTTTATTTTATTACTTGGGCACTACAACAAGCAATGTAGTTAAATATTCCGAATCCTGAATAAAATGTTCTTTGCGCACAAGATCAGCCAAATTTCTTGTTAACAAACTGCCAGTTTGTTTTTTTTCCATATTTTGTAAGCTGCTCTTAAGATTATTGTACACTGAAGATTTAGTTTTAAGATCTGCATCAATTTGCCCTACCTGTTTACTGATTATGTCAGCTATATTACGCAACGACTGTTTAATTGGATATTTAGCCATGTCCCATTGGAAATGAGTTAAGTAGACAGCAAGGTCTCCTAAAAAAATTATTATTATTTACTCAACTATAAGTGAAATATAATAAATGGTATTTTATCAACAATAATCAACTGATGCAGAGCATGAAACAGACACAAATCGTAACAATGAAAAAAAAAAAAAAATTAAAATAATGTAGCATTTCTTAACAATTTTCTTTCTTTTTGTTTAATAATATCAAATTAATTCAACATTGTGCTTAAAAATAATTACTTATAATAATTTAATAGTTTTATGTATGTACATATTAAAGTTTAAAATTGTATTTATAATATTATTTTTTAAACATGAAATATATATATATATTTATGAATAAATAAATATTGGTAATTAACAAAAATATTAAACATATTATGATAATTAGATTATTATTTAAATTAAATTATATTGTATTGTTTAATGGTCAACTTAAATATTTTTTTATAAAACATTACTTCCCCATTATTAAATAAAAAAAAATTTCAATAATTAAAAATATTTTCATTTTTTATTTGTTAATAAGAGAAAATCAAATCTTAAATAATAAACACTGAACAGTAATTTAAAATAAAACTGTTCCATGCCCTGTTTCAGATACACCAAAGTGTTACAGTAATATGTATGTTTTTATATTGTACAGTATTTTATTTGTAAATTTCAAATTTATTTTAATGAAAAAAGTTTATCATATTTATTTTATACATACAGATATATGAAAATATTTAATCTTAAAAACATTACTTCAACTCTCAGAGAATTTCATAATATTGCCAATCAATAAAATAAATTAAGTTGAACTCTATAATATAAATAGTTATTGTTAATTATATTATAATAGAATTTCAATATTTTTATTTTGTAAATAATATATTTTTTTAATATAACCACCAAAAATAAAATAAAACAACTATTTTACTTAAAATAAAAACAAGGCAAAAAAAATCATGTGTTAAAATGTAAAGTAAAAACAAACCTTAGTGAAATACAAACGATTGTGTGCAAAAGCCTATTGTGCATTTTTAAAATATGAAATAAGATACCTACTAAGAAATTTTAGCAATGAAGCTGCTTTATTTAAAAAAATAAAATTACAATATAATAAGTTTTAATTTAAAGAACACGCTATTACATTTTATTTTTTTAAATTCCAAAATGTATTACTATTTATTAGTGACATTATACTAATATTTGTTTTAATAGTCTCATATAAACATAATAAAATGGTATTCATTAAGAAAATACCAAAAAAATTAGTTTTATATCAGTTTAAAAACATATTAATAATTTATTCAACAATTTTAATTAACATTATTTTTAACTATTTATAATTTTTTTAGTAATTATACATAATAAATAGGTAAATGATAAAATTAAGATAATATTCTTTTTAAATACCAAACGATCAATATACTTAACTACTAAATAATATAATTGTATCATTTTAAGACTACATAATAACATAATATACTGAGTGAAATATAAATTAACTAAAAATAAATCATTACAAACAAAAATTAAAAAGGATGCGTTAATTTTTAATGTGTAAAAATTTAAAAAGTAAATATGATTTATTTAAGAAAAAATATTTATACAATATGTTATATTTAAAAATCTTTATCATTCCTAAAAGTTTTTAGTTTTTTTGAAAACATTTAATTTTTTACATGATTTTTGATATTGTTATAAACCATTTTTGAAAATAAATTATATTTTTACATTTTTTACTTTAATTCAGAAAAATAATATTATCAGCATTATTATGAATAATATTATTTTTTGTTTTATTTTGACACACAAAAATTTAATTTTGAATAAGTTGTTAATTAATTATAATTCATAAGTATTTAAAGATAAAATGAAAGAATAGCGAAGCACGGGGTTAAATAAATACCTTAAATACCTTTAAATTGTAAGTTTATGACTAATTAACTGCTTGCTAGAAATACAATTATGAATCAAAATATTATGTTTCAAAAATGAATTCAAAAAACTATAAAACGACTGAGGTTTTAAAAATAAATTTCTTTTATGACATTAAATTATGTTAACATAATATTTTCAAAAATTTTTGAACTGAAAATTTGAATGTAGAAACTTAAATGATTCGTTCTATATGTAAATATTAACATTTAGTTATATAATAAGGTGCGTTCCACAACAAATGTCCCTCAACACTAAGACGCTATTTTTTGTTATGGGTTCCGCTGCTGATCATATTTAAAAAAAAAAACATGTTCTTTATTTCCAAGCCCTAACTCTAAACCCCTGGTTTGAGTAAAAATCACCATCTGGTGCATTAATATCGAAGAACATTTGTTGTGAAACACACTATAGAGGCTTTTTAATAAAAAAATTAATATTTAATATTTTGAAGTATTTATTAACTTTTTTAGTACTAAAAAGAATCATTTAATTTGATTAAAACTTTGGATTACTAAGAACAGAATTCAACATTAAAATGATTTAAAGTCACTGGAACATTGATTTGAAAGATAAATGATAAGTGACTTATTTTACTTGTGCATTCAAATTTGTTCAATATAAAATGTAAAAATATAATACGCCATAAGTAAGTAAGTAAGTATATGAACTGAACCTTGCTATAGTATTAGTAAAATATTATTGTTTATTCAATAGTAAAAACATTTAAGATGTATAATTATAAAAATATAAAAATAAATGTATTTTCTCTACTAAAGTTTTTTAAGTGACAATATTAAAACATCTTAATAAATCTACGATATGAAGAACAATTTAAGAAAAAATTATTACTGTGAAAATAAAAATTATGATGCACAATAGTTTAAATTATAATTATTATTGTTACTAAAAATTTTAAGAATCACATATACTTTATAATTGTATTGTAATTTTTTAAGTGCCTATACCAAAATATTATAAATTATAAGGTTAACATTATCATCGTTTATAAACATCAAATATTTTAATTATACCTATGTTATGAGTTATAATTAATGTATAACATACTCTTTACCTTTTTTTATAAAAATAGGCAATATGAAAAACTATAATTATGTAATACATTTTAATTGATAATTAATTTAAAAAAAATTATATTAGTTTATATTCTTATAATATAGTTTACTTATAAATATTTTAATAAAATTAATTAAAATTTTCATAATAATTAATAATTATTATCAAACTGTTATTTTTATTTATTACCATTACCAAAAAGACCAATTGAGCTGAATTTTGCAAGTTAATCTTTTTGTGTGTATCACTTTTTTATTGAATATAATAGTCAAATATAAAATGTAACAATGCTAACTTCTGAAGAAATACATTCAAAAATAATAAGGAAACTACAATTTGAAAAATGAAACCACAAGCCAACATTGCATGAAGCATCCTACTAAAAGCAGCCGCTTACCTTGGGACGTTAGACACACGCCTGTCGGCCATCTGGACTTTGAATAGCTCAAGGCGGGCTCTTCCCAGCACACGGCCCACGACTCTCAAGACAATGCTGTGTCCAACGCCACACACAACAAACCCATAACAAAGCTTTTACTTTTTGCAATCGCCAACAGAAAAAAAGTCATAGGCCTATCTTTCTAACTTAATATGGCTACATGGCACTATGTGTAGACCAATATCAACCTAACCTAGATGAACATTTTTCTAAAATTCTATCTAGTTGTACACTAGGATCACATTAAATGCATGATATATGTTAATTTAAATAGAAAATTAAGAAGGAAGTGTAATAGACTTCTAAACTAAGCAACATGTCATTCCTGAATATAATTTAATTAAAACACTTAATGTATTTAAAATGTTATTTTTAGTCACAATACTATATAGTGTAATAATATATGTTATAATATAATATTATATATAGGTACTATATAATGTATTTACTATTAATTTTTGATATAACTAATTTATTTAAATAGGCGTGCTTAATATTATCAATTAATATCAGTTGGATGAGTAAAACTTATTTTTTTTTACAATAAATTATGAGGTAGTTTAAATCCTTAACTATTAATTTTAAATAAAATAAAATACTAAAACATATATTTTAAAATCAAATTGTAATTGGATCTTTTAATAAATAATTTATAAATATTTTAATTTCTTAATAGGCAATTATGATTTATTAAAATAAAATCATTAATTTGTATTTTGGTCCACCAAAAGAAGAACTATTAATTACATAAGCTATATGATAAAAAAAAAAAGAAAATACATTTTGAAACCAAATACATTTATTTTTTTTGAATGCGTATAAAAATTATTTTTAACTTCTATTGAATTTATTTGTATTATATAAACACTTTGGTGTAATTTATGTATATAATATATATACATATAATAAGTGGTAAACATAACACATACATGAAAAGATGAGTAAACAATAGGTTCCAAAACTTTTTAATTATTAAAAAAATTGATTAAATATTCATAATTTTATATTTAAAAAAATGCTGTTCTAAAAACAATGATCACAATTTAGGAAAAATATAGACTGTGAACACGCCACACACGCAACCATTTAAAGGATGCATTAATTTTTCATTTTGGCATATCATAAAAAATTAATATTATTATACTATGACAATAGTATCAAATGTTATATATCTAATAAATAAGGTATAGTGCATTTTGAATTCTATAAATATATATATATATGTTTTTTTTTTTTTTGGCCTTTTTAGCTTAACATGTTTTTCCATTATGAATGACAAATAAGTTGATAATATAAAAGTTAGATATATTAGTATTGACACATGGATGCAAGGGTAAAGGAAAAACTTAACTAAAATGACCAATAAAAATCCAGGGCATAAATAATAATGTTTCAAAAAAGTAAGTAGGATAGGTAAGTACACTACAGAGACAAGTCACTTGAGCTACATTGGATTTTCATCATTGTTATTCAATGGGTTGAAAAAAACCATTCTAGATAAATACATACCATTATTGGCCATCAAGTTCTCTTGCAGTTTGTCTCGTTGGTCTTCCAGTACTTCCCCCAAGTAGGATGCTACCTTATGGGTAACTTGATCAACAAAACTATCCAATTTTCCCAAATCATCAGACAATCCCACTAACTGATCCAATGTGCCCACCTTCAAGTCAGGTATGTGAAATTTGTAGTTGATGGACAAACTATTCTGCTTGCTAGTAACATTGTTGAGAGTTTCCCAGGTCTGTTGGCAAGTCTTGTCTCCAGGAGCTGATATTAGCCAATATTCAGACATGGTGCTTAGATACAGTTAAATAAAATTAAGCACACAAACGACTTAGTACCTAAATCAATAAAAAAAACATAAAATTAATAGTATAAAGTAGAAAAATGGGCAGGGCCAATACTAAGACTACAGAAGAGAATAATCCACAATATTTATAATAATAGTGGGCAAGTATGTGAATCGGTAAAAAATTTGGACGAACCTCCTAGTATACTTACTCTTAAATGGACAAAGTAACTTAAAGTAGACAATTTAATTAATTAAAATAGACACTTTCTGGACTGGAACACGCCTTAACCGAAAGAGACCTTGTTAACAGTATGATCATTTGTTTTCGATAACATCTGAACTGATATGAGACAGACACACCCAAAAGTTAATTTTTATAAGTTAGATAATAATTTTTTTCAACAATTGTTTTCAGTGAATGCAGTAAATATTAAATCAAAATAAAGAGACTCTTTCATTCTTGTTTAAATACCATTCCCACAGAAACTTTTTTGGTATTTTTTAAGTTTATTTAAATATTTTAAAAATTCTTATAAATCAAAAAAACTATAGAAAGTGAGAAATTAAATCATAAAATCAATAAATGAATATTACCAACATTTCAAACTAATTTAATTTTTAAGAAAGGGAATTTTCATTTTTTTTTTTTTACAAGATGTCAACATGGTTGATTACACGATTTTATCAATTATCATTTATTGTCTTTCATTTATTTTAATCAATATTCATTATTTAGTAATTATTCATTATTGTCTATTGACTATTGAGTTTACCTGATTTTTTACCTGTTGTATCTTATTAAAACCGTAACTAATAATTATTTAATAATATTTATTTACTATTGTCTATTGAATATTTAACCATAAGTAAATTTTAATAAATAAATAATTGTAAATTTATTCATAATCATGGTCGCTGCTTCAGAAGAATCAATCAACCGTATAGGAACAGTATTAGCTAACACAACGTTACCAATGAAAGAACGCTTCAGAGCGCTATTTACACTCAAAAACTTGGGTGGAAATTTAGCTATTGATAATATAGCTAAATGTTTCAATGATGATTCATGTTTGTTAAAGCATGAATTGGCATACTGCTTAGGACAAATGAGAGATGAATATGCTATTCCTTATTTAATCGAAGTACTGAAAGATAACAAACAAGAACCTATGGTTCGACATGAAGCAGGTATTACAATAAATTATTTACTTTTATAAACACTGACTTGTGGTCTTATTATTGTAACATAGTTGTTTATAAATGTTTATATTAGTTTATAACTTGAATTAGTACCCTAGTCTGTTTTTTTCTAAATCATTAATTTAAAATACTTCTATATTAAACATCTGTTATATTTATGTTAAGCTGAAGCACTGGGAGCAATTGGTAAAGAAAATGTTATACCAATTTTAGAAGAATATAAAAATGATCCTGTGGTAGAACTAGCCGAAACCTGTCAATTGGCTTTAGGACGACTTTTACTACCTAAAAATGAAGCAAATATTGAAAATATTTATGGTTCTATAGATCCAGCACCTCCTTCTGAAATAAAAAGCATAGAAGAACTTGAAAAAATTCTTACTAATGAAAATGAAAGCCTCTTTAACAGATATAAAGCAATGTTTTCATTACGAGATATTGCATCATCTGAAAGTATCACTATTCTTTCGAAAGGTAATTAAATATATTGTAAATATATTACATTACAAAAAATATAAACAATGAAATTTTAATATTTGTATTTAGCGTTATCATGTGGAAGTGCATTGTTTAAACATGAAATAGCATTTGTTTTGGGACAATTACAATCACCACTTAGTGTACCGTATCTAAAAGAATCATTAATAGATGAAAATCAAAACGATATGGTCCGACATGAATGTGCAGAAGCATTAGGTGCAATTGCTACAGATGACTGCTATGATATATTAAAACAATACATAAATGATCAAAAGGTAGTAGTCAAAGAAAGTTGTGAAGTTGCATTGGATATGTGTGAATATGAAAACTGTCCTGATTTTCAATATGCTGATACGCTTGAAAAAGTTACCACATAAGTTGATATTTTATGTTATTTTACAAATTACTTAAATTTTGAATTAACATTAAATATGAAAAGATAATGTTAAATATTGTTTGTTATTTAATACATTTTGATACTTTAAGTACCTAACTAAAACTTTTGAAATGTAACATAGTCAAATTTCTACTTTGATAACATAAATATTGACAGTGGAATGAATAATTTGTTGCCTTTGTAGCTAATAACATTTTTATGTTATTTTCATCTTATTTAAAACTACCTTCAACCAGCAAGTTACATTTTTATAATATTATTATATATTATTATGATTACAAATGATAAATTTTTATCTTATTTATTTTACTTATACCTCATCAATTATAAATTAAAATGATGAAAATATATGATAATTTATTTTAGAATAATTATTATTATTAAGCCAACTCAGAACCTTGAATTTTTAAAAGAAAAAAAGTCTGCCATAGTTATCTTTCATAAATCCTCACAATTTAATATTTATTAGTTTATATTATCTACTACAAAATCTTAGATTGTTTTAGAAAATATCAACACAATATTTATTTTCTCTTAGATCCATGATAAAAGTATTTTTGTTAAATTGTTTTTTACGATTTTTGAGTAATTGCAGGGTAAAATTGCCTATTAATAAATTATAGAGGTTAATATTTCATTATATTTTGACTTTATATATATTGTAAATTTAAACATATATTAAGCTGTTTTGAGACTATATTTAAACAAACTAATTTCATACCTTCAAAAATATTATTTTCTATTATTTTTATATATTGTGATTTTAGATTACTCAAAAACATGATAAAAAAAAAAATTTATGTGAGTATGTTTGGTCCATGTTGTGTGTGGATAAGAATGAGAAATAAACAATGTGCTAACATTTTCTATAAGTAACCAATATTACTTACAAAAAAAAAAAAAATAAACAATAATTAAGAATGATTGAATTTTATTAAAAATGAAAAATTTAATTAGATTATTTTTATGTTTAATAACACAATATTGTGAATAATATATTTAGTAAACTTGGTATATTCAAACGGTATACTCTAGAATGTAACCGTTATCTATTAAAACGCATTAACTTATACTAAAATGGACGGAAAGTTTTTGGATAATGTACAATTAACGCATTTGAAATAGCTGAAGCTAAATGTTTAGATTCATCAGCAGCAAACTTAACTTTCACAGTCCACAATAAACAACTTTCAATTTCTTTAATATGTTTATCCTCCAACATTCTCAAAAGAATTTTCATCATACGTCCATGATTTTGATGAACTGCTCCATGCCAAATATTAAAGTAATTCAAACTCTGAAATAAAATTAAAACATTAATATCAAATGAAAAATTATAATTTTAAAATTTAACAAACCTTAGAATCGGAATCTGGAGAAATAAAACAAGTAACTTGTAACCAAATATCATCAATATCCCGTAGTTCATTTTTATCATTTATTTTGCTTTTCACATTGTTATAATAATACAATTGGCACATTGCTGCACCTTTGCGACTTAGTGCTTCAATTAGATTATTTCTTAAACGGTCATTAGATCTGAAATATGTTAACAATTAAAATTTGATTTTAAAAACACAAATATATTACATTTTAAGTTTAGAAGCTTCAGGTCTTAGATCGGACTTAATTCCATAAAATGCAAGAAGATCATCTTGATCAATAATAGAAAGAACACGATCGGCGGCAGCGATTATAAGTTTTACTTTTTCTACATCAAAGTCATCAATTGAAAAATTAGGGAATTTTTTTTTATCTTCTGGTTCAATACATTGTATCCATGATATATGAACAGAAGAGTTTTTATCTCCAATTTCTTCACATAAACTGTTATACAAACTTCCAGAATCTTCACCAAAATCTAACAGATTATAAAATATAAATTAATTAATGTGCTGTCTTCATTTTTTAAATGTATACATATTATATATCACAGTAAACAAGTTTATTTATTCATATCAAAATATACCTAATTTTGTTAACCAATTGAATTTGGTTTCATATATTATTTCATTGAATTCCTCCAGTTTTGTCTTATTTTCTTCAATTGGTTTTAGTCCGTTCTTTGTTTTAAATGTATCCGTAATGAAGTACTTAAAATCATATGTATCCTAAACATTTAATACATGGATTTTTACTTAATTATTTTAATTATATCATATTAATAATGTAAACCATACATTGCTGATTAAAGTTTAATTTTAAATTTTAAAAATATATACATTATTTACATAAACATCTTAATCTTAATCAAAATAAATTATTCAACTTATGAATTTGAATAACTGATTAGTTAGGAGGAAATTTAACCTTTTAAATATAACATTTTATAAATCTTAAATATCAAATCAATTTAATAGATACTTACAACTTTCTTTCCATTTTCGTCCTTAACATAATGTATATTTCCAGACAAACAATGTCCAGCTATTAACTTTAATGAAATAATTCTGAAAAAAAAAAGTATGTAAATCTAACTAAAGTTTGATAATTATTGTATACATACTTATCATTAGGAAGTGATCCTATATGCAAGGGGAACAAATTACAATTGGGAGTCATAACATGAGTTAAACATTTTTTTCCGAAAATTGTGGCTTGATGATGACTACTGAAAACATCTAAACTAATTGGGTTTTGTAATTTTTGAACTACTTGTATAGGCAGGTCAATAATTTTTTCTAATAGGTCGCGTCGTTCATGTCGTACATGCATTTTTATAGTATAATCTCCTTTGTCTAGTTTATACACATGCTATAAAAATCACAAATAAGATTTTAAAATGATTAGACATAGATAAATAATTATGTTCATTTAAAAATGTATAGTAAAATATCTTACTCTACTAGAATAAGCATCACCGGCAGCAATGTACTGCTTATTGGAATCAAACAACATCCATAACTGTGATTCGTACTCAGATTCATACAAAAGTTCACCAAATAATCCACAAGTTGCATATGCTTCAGTAGATTTTGGTAAAGAGAAGGTATAAGATAAAATTAATTGATAGATTGGTCTTTGTGGTGGAATAACATCACGGTAAGTTAAAGCAGTGATTTTTCCTTCATTAGGTCTAAAAATTTGTATATTAATTGATTAGTAATTCAATATTAAATGTAAAACAAAAATAGTAGCTCTATACAAAATTTCTACTTTCTATAATTTTTTTGGGATTAAATAATACATAGGTACATAGCTAAATGAATAGAAAATTTTTTATGAAGAACTTCAAAAGGTATAAATAATTTTAAAATTTTCTTTTTAAAATTGTAGGTACTTGCATGTTGTGTTTTAAATAATAATAAGTAAAAAATTACACAGTTACAACCAACAAAATTATTATTTTAAAGTTACACAGGGGTAAAATTTGTAATTAATTTCAATACTATATAATATTTAATTTTGATTTTAAGGTTTTATGGCCAATAACGGAAAACTATGTCAGGAATATTATATTAATTATTATTATAATGATCCTCATAGGTCAAACTTTCAATTTTTGATAATTTTAATAGTTTAACAGCACAGCATACTAGATATTAGTTATATATAATTATTATATATTTATTAATATTTTAGATATTTTAATTTGATAATTGACTTAAAAGTTATGCATGTAATTTTTAAATAGAATACCATTTGATGTTTATCACCTTGTCGTTTTTTCTTGATTGATTAATATTACCAGATGCTGCTTCAATTATCAAATTTTGATTTTTAAATAGAATCCTAAATTTTAAACATGTTTTAAAAAATGTACATATTTATTTAGATAATTAATGATAAATAATAATTAACAAAATTCAACATTTAAAAAAAAATATTCTACTTTACAGCATAAAATTAAAAATACAAGTTAATTTTCATTTGAAAATCAAAATTGAATTTGGGTTCAATAAAAAACTAAAGTAAATAAAGGTGTTGTTGTGAAACTACATACTACATGATATGAATCTTAAATTTTGAAAAAAAAATTATATTTTATAAAATGACGAGAAAAATATGTTAAAAAGAACCATCTTAGTAATTTTGGGTACAGTAAATAATTTAACATTTATATCTGTTAGTTAAAATTTTAAAAACCTAATAATTATTATCAGTTATCACATAGGACATGCAAGTACCACAGAATAAATATTCTATACAAGTATTAAGTAAAAAGTAAAACAATAAATTGATCAGCATACTTAAGAACGGTAATAAGATGTTTCAATGAAACAGCAGGTAGAATTTCTTCATTTTTAATACCAGGCTTTAATGTCACCGAATGTAAACCCATTCCATGATACATCGCTATGTTTTGCGTTTGAGGTATAATGCCATGAAATTGTAATTTGTATGATAGTTTTATATTTGAGCAACTCGACCAATATTTTGCCAATACAAACTCTAATACCACATTTTCCTATAAAAATAAAAATTTTAAATATAAATACATAGGTAAGTATATACATTAATACAGTATTTTCAATAATCATAGATAAATAGATATCTATTTTTAAATACAAAATTACTAATTTAGTAATTTTATCTAAATTTATAAGGGTTTAAAGTTAAAGCACTAAAGTATTAGTACAAATATTTTTACTAATAAAACCGTAATATGTGGATGAACATCAGTAGTATTTAAGAGATCTAAACTAAATAAAGCTATACATATAAGCATTATACTAAAGATAAAAATATGATGAAAAAAATATCCATGATTTATACATAAAAATATAAAATTTAAAATTCATACAAAATCACTTTGCACAAAAAGTTTAGGAGACACATATTCACATAATTCCTATTAAGATTTAAAATATAATTTATGACTAGGGCTTTGAACTTAATGCACTTAAAAAGTACTAAAAATACATGCACTTATACGCTTATAATAGCACAAATACCTATGCTAAAAATATTTACTTTTTTTTTTATTCACAATTTTTATAAATACAAATTAATTAAAAATATTTTCATTTTTTATTTACACTAAATATTTATTAATAAAAACAGAAAATTGTATGTCACTAGGGATTTGAAAAAAACGATACAATAATACCAA